TAAGACTCACAATTAAATGCCCATTTTTGTAACTTAAATACTTTATTGTTTTAGTATTTCATAAGTCTCCTTTTCCCTCATTGACCTCTCCCCAGCCGCCCCCAGCCCCAGCACATGCTCTTATCCCCTCTCTCTTGTCTGTGTCCATTGGTTGTGCTCATATGCATGCATACAAGTCCTTTGGTTGATCTCTTACCCCCTCCCTCCTCAACTCCCCCACCCCCGTCTTCCCTCATAGGTAGGACAGTCTGTTTGATGCTTCCATTACTCTGGTTCTATTTTAAAGGCCCATTTTTAAAAAAAATACTCACAGTTTTTCCTTACACATTGCACATTTATTTCCATGTGTCTTGCCATTTGAATCACGGACAGGATCACTTTCTCGGGTGCAGAGAAGTTGTCCATTTTTCATTTGGCCTCTATATTCATCACAGGGATCCTGAAAAGAAGGGAAGACTACATTAGGAATGACTGTTTTCATACAGTATTTGACTGGGCTTTGAAATCTGAAGATTTGGGTGGCTCTCTCTGTGGAGCATGCCCATGCCTTTCCCTTCCCCTCAGGCATGTTTTCCTTGCTTCTCACTTTCTCCTAAGTTCCAATGGCCTTTCTTTTGCCTCTGTAACTTGTTTCCTGAGCTCATGTAGCTCTGCTGGCTCACTTCTTCCATGGCTCACTTCTCTTACCTCTATGACTTTCTAAATAAAGTCTTGCTTGTATTTGGAGGGAGAAGGAGGAGCGGGGGAGGAGGAAGAGGGGGGGAGGAAGGAGGCGGAAGGAGGAGGAGGAGGTGGAGGAGATGATGAAGAAGAAGAAGAAGAAGAAGAAGAACGAGAAGAAGAAGAAGAAGAAGGAGGAGGAGGAGGAGGAGGAGGAGGAAGAAGAACTATTGAAGATTTTGACTCAAAATTTTACTAGGCTATTGAGAGAATTAACTACTATGTATAAAAGTGCTTTGTAAAGGATAAGACTGAAAGATTTCCATTTGATGTTAAATTTCCACACTGAACAAGCTGCTGGTGATATTTACATTAATGATGGCTTCTGATCTAAGGGCAAGATCTAGGTTGGCAACAATGACACCTTCTTTCCATATTTTTGATAGTCATATGTTGACTTACAGAAAGACCATTCTTGCCAACACCAAGTAAATGACTCACCTTTCCTGATGCTGATTCAGTCCCATTTGCTCTATAGCCAGAATATGTATTTTTTCCACCTGCTTGTTTTTCCCTAGAAAAGAGTCAAGAGTCATCTTGTTAACATGTACCCAGGTTTCAAAGGCCCCTTCGAGTTTATGTATCCTAGATCTCTTCCTGAACAGAGAATGTCTCCGCATGTCCCCATCATGGACAGCCAGCTGGGTTATTAAGAAGCTTCCTTGTCTGGCTGGTATGGCTCAGTAGTTGAGCGTTGACCCATGAACCAAGAGGTCCCCAGTTCGAGTCCCAGTTATGGCACATGCCCAACTTGCAGGCTCGATCCATCCCCAGTAGGGGGTGCACAGGAGGCAGCTGATTGATGTTTCTCTCTCATCGATGTTTTTATCTCTCTATCCTTCTGCCATCCTCTCTCTCTAACATCAATAAAAACATATTTTTAAAAGAGCTTCTTCATCACAGCTACCTCCT